CTACACTTGTGACTCAAGTTGTCTTTCAGGTGTAGTGCTTCATCCATTAGAGGAACATAGCGGAGGGCAGCCTTGCGGCCCATGGACGGCCATGAGTGGCACAGGTCTCAGCTGGCCCGCACTCGTGCAGCCTTACCGTGATAGATTGGAGGAGTGGTTCGGGACCCCTCAGAAGCTTCATGCAGCTTTCGATAGTGCGGAGGAACTTGTAGCCTTGCTAGCCTTGTGTGATGACACGCTTTCCGTTCTCACGCGGGGCATGATCGCTGATGCCATTATGGAGTGGCAGGAAGATACCAAGAGCATAGTGGCCAGTGCCAGGCGAGAAGCTAAGAGGCGCTTGTCAGAGACGTTGCCTTGCGATCGTTCCGTCAGCCTCAGCTTGCAACAGCATTACAATCAAATCGCCTCACAGAGCCCGCTTGCGTTGTTGCCAGCTCTCCGAAAGCGCAAATTAGCGGTCGATCGCACTGTGGATAGAGGGGCCCGGGCCACTGAGGAGGCACGCCTCAGAAAGGAGTATGCATTGCGTCTTGCAGCTGTGTTTCAGGAGGCCGATCTTCCAGTGTGCAAGATATTAGCGGGTGTTAGCGATGCAGAGGAGGCCTGGCCGCGTCTGTTTGGCACCCGGCGGGCTAAGACCTTGAGGAATCGCCATCGAGCTTGGGAAAAGTTCCGAGAATGGTTGATTTTCAGCCGGGGAAGGGTTTATCCTAAAGGGGTCGCTGATGTGCTGGACTTTGCGGCCGAAAGGTTTCGCGAAGGGTGCGGCAAGACGGTTCTTGAAAGCTTCCAGGCATCCTTGACTGTTATTGAGACGGTAGGGCGTGTGCCGGAGTCCAGCCAGATTTCTCAGGACCCGACTTGGCAGGCACAGCTTAAGAGCTATACCGCAGATCTGGTGGCCAGCTCAGCGCCGGAGCAGCCTGCCCACATGTTCACCACTTGCATGCTTGTCTCGTTGGAGATTCTCGTTTGCTCTTCAGATGAGCCGCCCTATCTAAGAGCCTTAGGGTTTGTGGTTCTGCTTATGGTCTGGGGGTCCTTGCGGGCAGATGATGTGCAGGGTCTGTTGCCACAGACTATGCAATTGGATGAAAGAGGGCTGGCAGTCGAGCTGGCGCGGTCCAAAACGACCGGCCCGGACAGGCGCACGCGCTCGGTGAAAGTGTTCATCGAGAGAAGGATCTCCCTCACTGGACGGGATTGGCTCCGGGAAGGCTGTGCTCTGTGGCGTGACTTTGACTATCCGCGTGACTATTTAGTGCTAAAAGCCAACAATGACTTTTCGGAACCCATTGAGAAACCTGTGTCAGCTTCGACAGTGGCGCTTTACGTTCGCAAGGTTTTGAGTTCCCTCAAGACACCAAAGCGAGAGGGGAAGGTGTGGAAGGCCAATGGGCAGCGACCTCTGCTGCCGGGGCA